CTACACCGTCGCTGGCGACTCACAGCAGCCCAGCTCCAGGTTGAGCTGTTGTTCAGCATCTTAGCTGTGGAGGGCAGTGTCACTGGCTGTCATATGTGGGATCCGAATGGGGGCCCTCTGGCGTCCCAAGCCAGGTCTTAACCATCGCGCCACTCGGCCGGCCCCCCATTTCGCGTTCTTATGTTAAAGCATAAACGTGTATATACATGTATATGAAGAGCATAGAAGAAAAATATTTCAAAATGTTAATGGTGATTTCAAGTGACGTTTTTTCTTCTTTATGTTTTCCTGTGGTTTTATCCCCAAAATCTGATGTGAAAATGTATTATTTTATCATGAGAAAATTGCTTTTTGCAAGTCTCTTCTAAGCCTCGGGTAACATACGTTGCCACCCACAGCAAATTGTCTTTGCTGCGAATTTCGTGAAGTATGAAAGGCAATCGCCTATTGGAGAGGTACTGATGATCTTTTTTAAAAAATTGCTTTTAAGTAATCGCCCAGTATTTTTGTGGTGGTTAAATATTTCTTAAAGGAATAAAAATCCTAGCCGCGGGGGTCGGCCGCGGCATCCCGGGGGGAACACACCCCCTAGCAACCGGAGCCGAGCTGAAGCACCGCACTGCGCCTTTAATTCCCTGATTGGGGGCGGTGGTGGAGGATTTCCGCTCCCCCACCGCCCTGGTGGCAGCTGTCACCTGTAAGGCGAGCGCCGAACGCAGGGGATGGAGCCCGGCGCCCATTGGACAGAATATAGAGACGGAAACCTATCCCGAAGACGCGGGGCCCGGCGGCGCGGCGGCGGTGGGCGCGCGCCCCGGCCCCCAGCGCCTTCCTCCGGGAACCTCCCGGGCCCTGCGGCGCGGGCGTGACCGAAGTCCGGCTTGGGGGACACGCCCGACCGACCTCGGCGGATACTGCCAGGTGAGCCTGGCCGAGGCGGACGCGATTCCCGGAACCTCCGCCCCGGCGCCGCGACATCCACCTGCCCCGGCCGCTGGGAACCGAGGGCCGGTGGGAAGGGGCGCCCGCTCCCCGGCGGCGCGGGGACCGACCATGGCGCTCGCCGCGGCCGCCGCGGCCGCCGCCGGGGTGAGCCAGGCGGCCGTGCTGGGCTTCCTGCAGGAGCACGGCGGCAAGGTGCGCCACTCGGAGCTGCTGAGCCGCTTCAAGCCGCTGCTGGCCGCCGGCGACCCGCGCGGCCGCGCCGCCCGCAGGGAGCGCTTCAAGCAGTTCGTCAACGATGTGGCGGTGGTGAAGGAGCTCGACGGCGTCAAGTTCGTGGTGCTGAGGAAGAAACCGCCGCCGCCCTCCTGCGACCCCAGCACCCCTGGGGCACTGGCCTCCCCATCCGAGATCACTTCAGGCTCAGACGGGGAAGCCGCCGCCCCGGGGGCTCCGTCCTTGGCCTCGGCGCAGCGGCCAGCGGGAGCCCCTGCGGACCCGGCGCCGCCGTCAGAGCCGCAGCACACCCCCGGGGCTCCGGCCTCTGAGCCCACTCAGCCGACTGGGGAGCCGTTGATAGGCGCGGCCCAGAAGTCAGGGGCGCCCTCCAGTTCCCGGCTTCCAGCCTTTGAGACAGCCCAGCCCACCGAGGGCCGCTCCGCAGACGTGGCCCCGTCGGAGGCAGCCGTGCCCCGCGCAGGGCCGCCGAACCCGGAATCAGGGCCTGGGGCGCCGCCAGGGCCGCCGCCACCCGCTGGGCGCGCGCCTCCGCAGAAGCCCTGCATGCTGCCGGTGCGCTGCGTCCCCAGCCCCGCGGCGATGCGGATCCGGGCCGAGGAGCAGGGCCTGCGCCGGCAGCTGTCGGAGGAGCCGAGCCCGCGGGACTCCCCGCTGCCGCTGCGGCGGCTCTCGGTCGAGGAGACTGGTTTGGGCCTCAGCCTGGGCCCGGGCCGCTCCCCGCACCTGAGGCGCCTGTCGCGTGCCGGCCCGCGCCTGCTGAGCCCCGACGACGAGGAGTATCCCCCCGCGCCGCCGCCGTCCCCCGTGCCCCTGGAACCGGCCGAGCACGAGTGGCTCGTGCGGGCGGCCTGTGGCCGCTGGAACCACCAGCTGCACGTACTGCTGCTGCGCCACAGCGCCCTGGCGGCCAAGCGCGACTTCATGTCTGGCTTCACGGCCCTGCATTGGGCCGCCAAGAGCGGCGACAGCGAGATGGTGCGGAAGCTGCTGGAGGTCGCGCGCAGTGGGGGCGCGCCAGTCAACGTGAACGCGCGCTCACACGGCGGCTACACGCCCCTGCACCTGGCCGTTCTGCACCGCCACGAGGAAGTCGCAGTGCTGCTGGTGTGCCTGGGTGCACAGGTACACGTGCGCGACCACAGTGGGCGGCGCGCCTACCAGTACCTGTCGCCAGGCGCCTCGTATGCGGTGCGCCGTCTGCTCGGCGACCCCCGCCTGCAAAGCTCTACGGAACCGGATGCGACCTGGGGTGGTAGTGGGAGTCACGCCCGGAGCCCAGTGCAGGTGGCCGCCACCATCCTCAGCTCCACCACCAGCGCGTTTCTGGGTGTTCTAGCCGACGACCTGCTGCTCCAGGAAGCGGCACGAGGCTGGAGGAAGACGACGATCACCTTCAAGTTCTTGAGTGCGTCGCCCATTGTTCCTCATAAAAAAACAAAGATTCGAAGTGGCCTGCCAGCCTTTTCAGAATTCTCTCATCAGCCCACTCCGGGGCCTTTCGCTGGTCTAATGTCCAGCCTGTCCCCTACAAACTGACAGTCCCTGAGGCTACGGCTTGGTTGAGGCTACCGGGCCTGCCCCTCACTGTCTAAGCCTACCCAAGACGGCAGCCCAACCCCTTCGGCTCCATCCAGTTTCCAACTTTGTCCATTGCAGCCTGTTTTACCCAGGTGGGCCTATGCCTCCAGCTTTTGTCTGAAGCTTGACCTGTCTCCAGAGACGGGATTCAAGATCTCACTGAGAGCCTCCTATAAAGGACTCCAGAAGTCAGGCTTGAATTTTGGAGGAGACTTGAAATTTAGGATCAAAGGTTAAGGGGCGGCAGCTGGTCTGGTCCCTGAATGAGTTAACCCAATGCCTGCATCTGTACACTCCCAAGCCAGAACTAGTTGCAAGGATCTCTTTAATTATTGTGTGATGTTGGATAGTTGTTAGCTTTAAGATACCAGTGGCTTTATAATTTGATGCTTTTATCCTGTTTTTAAATTGAAATGAGGTAAAACAACTTTCATAATAACCTTCTGAAATTATATTTTTCCATTTTTAGGCAAAATGTTCAGACATTTTCAATCTTTTGCTAAATATTTTGGAATTCTATTTTTTAAAAAATAAGATGATCAAGAGCTAAAGGAAATTAATCCCAACCAACAAAACCCTTAAATGTCTATCTACCTCATTTTAGGCAACCAAGATTCTAGAGCCTTGAACACAGAATATGACTATTGTGAATGTAATTTCAGTTGTACTTTGAATGCCAGATATTAGGAAACAAGTGCATCTTGGGAGTAAAGATGATATAACAACAGAAGAGACATTTGGGCAAATACTTTTAATTTGTGGTTGTCTTTATGGTGAAATGTAAACATATGTCTCTGGCACTGGTGGGTGGCTATTTTAAACTGGCATGAATATTTAACTTTTAAAATTGTGATTTATTTGTGAATTGCACTGTTGTGCCATGTTTCTGAATCTGTGGTTTTCAAATCTGGCTGAGCCTTTCAGTGCAGTAGGTGAATATTCAAAGTTGGGCCACCATTCAAAAAAAGTGTCATAGCATTACACCAGAAAAATAATTGGTTAAATTGGAATGAATATAATTAAGAACCAATTATTTTATATGGAAGATCTGTACAAACAGAAATACTGATATCTATTTTAAAAAGCCATTGTAAAGCAAACAACTTATTCCAAAACTGCAAATGCAGAATCTCGTTGCTTGCTGACTTTAGAGGGTGACTTAACGTCTCTGGACCTTTGTTCCTGTCTGTAATTGAGAAGGTTTGTAGGTATTGCCAAGATTTCCCAGGTTCAACACAGTGTAATTACAATGACTGTTTTTGTGTTTTAAAGATGTGGAATTTATTGCTCAAACAACCTTTTTTATATCATATGGTGTTAATGCTCTGCTTTTGCAAATTGTGTTTGCATGTCATTAGTTATATCAAATAACATATGGGCTCCCCTCTCATAGAGATATCAGTGAAGCCTCTGAAATGATTTAAGGCAGTCCTTAATGCAATGTTTTGATTTAAGCAATGAAATAAAGTCTCCCTTAAAGGTTCTACAGCTCTTGCTACTGTGTTTTTCTTTTTTTTAAAGACTTTTATTGGGGAATTGGGGGGATGGGAACAGCTCTGGGGAATTGGGGAAGGGGAACAGACAAGTTGCTGTCGTTTTTTGTTCTTCAGTCTAGTTGTGGAGGACATTGCTTCACTGGCCCAAGTTGGCACCATCATTGCACTCTTCCTGGGCGAGGCAGATCAGTCGCTGGCTTCTGGACAGCCGCTCACGCTGGCTGCTGGCTACACACGGTAGCCCATGGCAGCCCACTGCCACAGGGGCAGCTGGCTGCTGGCTACACATGGTAGCCCATGGCAACCCACTGCCACAGGGGCTGCAGCCTACGCGGTCGCCGGCGACTCACAGCAACTCAGCTCCAGGTTGAGCTGTTGTTCAGCATCTTAGCTGTAGAGGGCAGTGTCACTGGCCCTCATATGTGGGATCCGAACCGGGGCCCTCTGGCATCCCAAGCCAGCTCTTAACCATCGCGCCACTCGGCCGGCCCTTTTCTTCTCTTTTTATCTGCTTAATTTCTTCTTTTCTCCTCATCCTTCTGCCACTTTCAAGCATTCTGTTACTGAAAGAGTCAGCCAAACTCAGGAGTCAACCAGACACAGATATGGTAGCCAAAAACTATAGATAATTAAGCCCTGAGCTAACCTTTCCCACCTTTCTTGCCTGGAACTGTAGCTAAGCTGCATAAATTATTTTTAAATGCAAATTAAAATCTTTTCTGCAGAAAAATTCTGGGAGGCAATAATTATAGCAATCTGAGTAGCTGAAGATCTAGAAGACAAATAAAATATTAGCGATTTCCCATGGTAAGAGAGCCTTGACTGAGACAAGGTAACAAAGGTCATAAACACAGGTATGACCTACCTTGAGAAAGATCAATATCTAAACCAGCAAGGTAGTAATAACAGTAACTAATGTTTATTGCATACTTAAATCAGAGGAAGGTTACCTGAACTGCCAGAAGAGAATCTTTGTGTTTCAAAAGGGTGTGTGTAAGCCTTCCAAGTGAGGTAAAACATTTAGCAAGAGTTTAGGATCAATAAGCCAAAACTCAGGAGTTAGAAACCATTGCTTGTTCCTTGAAGGCCAAGACTTTCTGAAACTATAAGGTAAGTTAGTAGGAAATTATGGTTTGATGTACGTATGGGAAGTTTTCAAAAGCCATATATCGCCTAACAGGAGGTACACCTCTGGAAGGGTATTTCCAACAACTGATACAAAAAATAATTGTTTATAAGTTAAGGCAATTTAGCTGGTAAGAATTGTCACCGGGAAGAGAATCACTCCTTTTAATGGGGGAGAAGTTAATTGTTGGTGTAGATACGTGTGAGTCATATCCAGAGCAATCTTTTAGAGAAAGTTTTACATTTCCTTCAAAGGAGGTTGGAGGTAGTTCTTGAGCATGCCTCACCTAATGGAGACCAGGGGGTGGGTAATGCATACATACCTGTGTTTATTAAGTGCTAGGCACAATTCTAAACACTTGGCAGGTATTAAGCACAACCTTATAAGGTATGTACTGTTAGTATCTTGATTTTAAAGTGAGGAAACAGGGCCGGCCAAGTGTCACGTTGGTTAAGAGCTGGCTTGGGACGCCAGCTCTGAGCAGCAGGCCCCCGGTTTGGATCCCACATGAGGGCCAGTGACACTGCCCTCTACAGCTAAGATGGTGAACAACAGCTCAACCTGGGAGCTGGGCTGCCGTGAGTCGCCGGCAACAGCATAGGCTGCAGTGAAGCTGCAGTGGGCTGTCATAAGCTACCTGTGTGGCGGGCAGCCAGCATGAGCAGCCTGGCAGCTGGTGTGAGCTGTCAAGAGCCACTGTGAGGGGCTGTCCAGAGACTGGCAACCGATCTGCCTCGCCCAGGAAGAGCGCAATGATAATACCAACATGGGCCAGTGAAGCGACGTCCTCCACAACTAGACTGAAGAACAAAAGGACAGCAACTTGTCTGTTCCCCTTCCCCGACTCCCCAATAAAATCTTTTAAAAAATAAAAATAAAAATAAATAAGTTGAGGAAACAAAGCGTGGAGGAGTTGTAAGTAACTTGTTAAGTATCAGAGGCTGGATGGCATCCTGTGCTCTTCGCATTACAATGTCCTGTTGCAGCAAAGCAAGGTGGTCTCAATCTCAGCCCTTTGCTCCTTTAGTGCTCTTAGGCCAGTCACCCAATTCTCCAAGCACCATCTCCCTTTTGCGCCATCTCCCTTTTCTATGGGACACGACTGGCAGTACCTATCCTACAGGCTGTGGGGAGAGGAGCATAGGGAATAAGTACGTAGAGCACTTTGGGGGCTGCAGTACCAACCTGAAATATTACCAGAGGTGCCAAGTTGGTCCTATGGGGTATCTGGCTGCATTCCAAAACCAAATAGCTCTGATTTGTAACTTTGCTTTACAAGAAAGATCACCATTCTTTTACCATGTTAGTAATTGTATACATAAATAACGATCGACTGCTAGAAAAAACGTATTCCCACAAAAGGAAAATTATTCCATATTCTGTATGTAATACTTTAGTTCAAATAGATAAAACCATGTCTTGCTTAATTCACATTCTTCTAGAATCCCTACTCTCACCTGTTAGACCTAAACAATGGTCATTCACCTCTCACCAGTTATAAAGCTAGGCCCACCCAGGACATGAATTCTCCCCCATTTTTTGCCTTTTCCTAGAAGTTATTTGACCTTTGTAAATGTTTGCGTAAACAGGCTTTATTGTTCTCCAAGTAGTTGTTTGCCTTGCATCTCTGTCCTGGCCTCACTATTCCAGAACTGCCACACCTCTGGACTTCAACCCTGAAGCACAGGTGGCCTCAGATGTGACTGCAGGGAAGTGGAAAGAAGGAAGAGAGAGAAGGGTAGATAGATGCAGACCTATCCTCCAAAGGAGGGAGGGGGAGAGTCCTCCTGGTAGAAAGTTGGTGCTGATTTAAATTTCAAAGACAACAGGTAGACCCCAAAGTGACCTGCAGGCAGGCTGTGACAGTAAAACTACAAGGTCTTTGAGAGGGAGGACTGCTTTATAGCAATTTCTGTCCCCACCCCCTAGACCCCTCTTTCACCTGCCCACTCTGCGGTCCTCAACCACCGTTGACCTAAATTCCCTCTTAAGCTTCTGATTTACATGTGAAGGAACAGCACTGCGATTTGTCGCTGTGAGGATCTCCAAGGTTTTCGCCAGCCGCTTGCGGAGGTAGCTGCGTGCTGTGCGAAGCAGGCTGTCCAAGGCAGATTGCGCGAGAGTTTGGGGCATGCAGAACATTGCTTCCCTATTCCTTTTCCAATTTGCTGTCTGAAGGTAAAAAGTACACTAATTACATCCATATTAGGAACAGCAGCGGGGGCGGGGTGAAGAGAGCGGGGGAGGCGGCCACGGGCCTGCCTGTTGCCCAGCAACCACCTCAGCAGCAGCGGGCCCTCTGCAGAACCAGTGGGCACTGCTGTGGGCAGCGGGACTGGGGAGGAGGGGGGGCGGGGAGGGAGTCGAGCAGGCAAGGGCGCAGGCGGCTTCAGGAGGTGGGGGTTAGAAACCCCAACAGAGACCCACGAAACTCTCTGTTCCACCCTGGGGAGCTAAGTAAGGCTTGTTTTGGTACTGATACTCGAGATCAACAGCCCCCCCGCCTCCCTCCTCCACTTCTCATTAACCAACAACAAAGGAAAGCGAGCCAGCCTTCCCGGGGCTGCCTGGATAGAATTGCTTTCCGACAAAAAAAATAAAAAATACAAAATAAAAAAGCCCAGCCAGCTTTCAGGCGCAGCAAGGCCAATAAAAGGCCCTGTAGCTCGCCCGGAGGGCCTGGTAGCTGGGGAGGCTCGGGGTGGTCCACTGCAAGTAGCACCACCTTCCAGCATAAGGAGAACAGTGCCCTCTGCTGGCAGTATCTAAGAGGGCGGCATTGACCCAGCTTCTGGATCCTGCAAAGGTCTTACTTAGTTTGTGGTGCCAATACCGAACACCTATGGTGAGATCATGCTTGCCCTCTGAAGGAATAACGGTGTGGAAGGGAGATAAACTAGAGCAGGAGAAAGGCAAAGGCAAGATGTAAGGACCGGTGCAGGAGGCGTGGCCCTACTTTGGTGGCTCCCCTGATCTGGTAGTGACAACCACAGAAGCCTCATATTTCCCCATGGAAAAACCCAGCACAGAACCAAAGTGCAGTTTAACGGTACAATGGCAGACATTGCTCCCCATGCCCAGGCCTAGGAATGCTTTGTCTGAAACACACAATTTCCACTGGCCTAATGGACCCGGTTAAGTGTGTTTCTAAGAATATCACAATGGGAGAATGTGATGAGGGCTGTGCAAGGCAAAAGGCAGAAATAAGTATCAGTAGATTCCACCCAGAACGCGTCTGAAAGCAAGCTGCCCTACTAGGCTGAGGACCTTGGAGCAGAGGCCCTGCTCCAAGCATAATGTTAGAACCTGTAACTGGCTCAGCAGGACCCCCATATGTTTTTCATAAAAAGGCACAATGTCGGCATTGTTCTGTGCTCAATAGCGCAACTGTTATAACTAATGCTTTTGCTATGAATACAACTATTTAAAATTCCCAACCAGTTGCACTTAGTGACAATACACATCAGAAAACAAGCCCAGAAGCAGAAATTTCTTACTTTGGGGTCAGTTGGCTTTAAATACACATACACATGCCTTTTCATGTGCCCAACTTCCAAAAATACACTGAATGTTTGCATGAACAATTGTTCTTGTCCCTGGTGTTTGCAGCTACAAAGACCAAAGCAGATTTTCACACATGTACTTGAGAACTTAGCATTGATTCTGTGTACACAGGGCCCATGAAGAGCAGAGTGGAGTACATGTTCTATGTTTCATACACCTCCAGTCCCTAACTCTCCACTACCAACCCCAATCCTCCCCCAGATTAGCATCTGCAGCACATAGGGGACACACCTTTCTAGGTCCTCAGCCCTTACCTAATAGGACTCCAGGTCCCCCATGCCTCACCCCCTACTGGGGTCTCCAAAGGAGAGTGGGATAAACTCTTTTGATAACATAATTGGAAGAAAGTTCTTTGTGGGCCTTGGAATGTCCCCAAATGTCCAAGTGTACTGAACCCATTGTCCATTTGGGGAATTTCCCTATCCCTTTTGAGTCTTGAAGGGAGACAGTACCACACTTCCACTACTGAGATTGGGGACTTGGGTAAAACCAGCAAAGGAGACCTGGACTCAACCAATCGGGTCTCAGCTTTTGTACTGATGCAGTCACCAGAACAGTTAGGGAATACTGGTGGCAGTGGAATTGAGGGCCCAGCATCCCCTGGTCTCTCCTGTTTTCAAGTCTGGTTCTCCAGGCTTCCTTAGTGATTTCTCCAGCAAATGCCTCTTCTGCTGTAGTCAGGCAGGGTTGGCATCTGTAGTCTGTAAACAAGATCCCTCCCCCAAACTATGTTCCAGGTGACATACACACTTCTCACATCAATTTTTATTGAGAAAAAAAAGTTGCATAAGTTGAAGTGCTTCTCTGACTAGTCTCCTCTCCCTCCAACCAACCCTGATTGAGCCCCTCTCATCACAAAAAGGGGGAATACTGCAGTTTAAAAAATCCATAAATTAATTACCAAATAATACACAAGTCTTGGGTGAGGTCACATGACAACACTTGGGAGAAGTATCCTGGGAAGGCCTGGCCTGGGTCATCCCCACCCCAAAGGAAAAGCACCGAATAAACCAGCATCACCCCCAGTTGCATGTGTGAGAGGTAGGGGCAATGCTCCCAACCCTCACCGCCTGTAACTAAATGAGGGAAGGGGGGCAGGTTGGTTTATCGGGAGGATGGGTGCCTGGGGACCAGGCAGGTCTGGGAGAAGGGGGATGATGGCCAAGGTCACTCCTGATGACGTCCAGTTGGTCCTGAAGGAGCCGGACTCGCTCATCCAAGCTGCGCTGCTGGGCCAGGACCGCTGCCTTGCCAGCCAGCAGGGCACAGTAGGTGCGCAGCTCCTGGGCAGGCAATGCCTGCACCAGCACCTCCCGAAGGGCCCGTTCGCGCCGCGCTACGTGTTCCTTCAGCTCCCTGGCGTCCTCCTGCTGCCTCTTCAGGAGCCCGAGTCGCTGCAGCAGAGAGGCCTGGAGCCGCAGGGACAGGGTACTGTAAGCGGGGAGACAGCACCTCGCCGACCGGCTCTCCCGCAGCCTGAACCCCTTTACCTGCTCTTCAGGGTCGTCGGCGGCGGTCGTCCGGGCCAGGGCACGGCGCACACGGGCCAGGCGACTGCCCAGCAACAACAGGAGGCCAAGTACGCGCTCCAGGTCGGCCATGAACCGGCTGAACCGCTCTAGTTCGCGGGGTGCACAGGCCTGGCCTACTGCGGCCTCCAGGGCAGCACCGCGCCTGGCCCAGGCCTGGGCTGCCTCCTGTAGCTGTTCCTGCTCTGCCTGAAGGTCCCGCAGCATCTTTTGGAGGAGGTCTGCTAGCTCCACCTACAGGGAGATAGATACTTAAGTCGGGGACCTCTGACTTCTCAGCCCCTATTCTGAGATCTTGCCCCATCCTGCCTCCACCAGCCCCACCACACTCACTTTCTTAGCTTGCATGCTGTTATTTGGCTCGGGGAGACCCTGGCCACATGACTGGTCAGGCACAGGGTGGGTGGTAAGATTTTCAGGCCTTCTTTCCTCCTGAGAAGTTGGCAGGAGCTGGGTAGAGCTAATTAGACAGGACCTGGGGACAAAGCCAGAGCTCCCTGGGTTGTCCTGCCCCAGAATGCAGGGGCTTAGAATCCGGAGTCCCCTGGTGCCCCTCACTCACCCTGACTCAGAAGTACTAGCAGCCTCCTCTCCAGCCTCCCCACAGGCTGGCCTCATTGCAGCCCAAACCTCAGCTAAAGGAATCAGCCCATCCAGCAGGTCCAGGGGTGGCTCTGGGCTGGGATAGGAGGTGAGCGTGTCACTCAGAGAGGGATCCAGTCTGGCCAGCTCCTGAACCAGCTCCTCGAGACGTGGACTGGGCCAAGTTGGCCTGGAATCAGGTTGGCCAGTGCCCCAAGCCAGGGCAGTGTCATCAGGAGGCCCTGGGGTATCATTGCTTGCAGGTCCCAGGGCATCAACTGAGAGAGGTTTGAGGGGGTCACTCTCTGCAGCTGAAGGGGTGTCAGTCATCAGCTGTCCAGTGGAGTCAATGGTTGGGATGTTACCATTTGCAGTGCCAGGGGCACTACAGCATGTGGGCCTGGAGACACCCACAGAACCGTTTATTCCCTGCCAGCAGTCATCTGCCCCTGCAGTCTCTGGGCGCTCATGGAGGGGGTGCTCTGGAGGGACTGTAGACTGGTTAGGCCTTTGTCCCAAGCCAGCTCCATACTGCGGGTCAGAGGCATGGACACTAGAAGTGGAAGAGATGCTGAATCAGAAAAAGCTCTGGCCAAAGACCAGTGTTGGTCTCGAAGGGCCGCCTGCCCCCACCCTCACCCCATCACCTGGGTTCCCAGGCTCCAGCTAGGAGAGGGTTCCTTGACCCCCCAGTGTTTTGTAGCTGTATATGGGAAGAGGGTGTCTTGCTGTGCTTGGAAGCAAAAGGAAATTCACCTGGTTGGGAGCCCCGGGGAGTCATGGGCGTCTGGAGGTGATCTCATTCCGACCAACATGGCTTCTTCCAGGAAAACTTCATCACCAGGAAGGGAGGCGAGCCGGGAAGGCACAATGCAGGTCTCTGGGCCCCTATGGTCACAGTCAGTGGCGATGCTCTGGAGGCCCTCTGTAGGACACACCACTGCGGCTTCCATCTGAGTCAGGAACCTGGGGGCAGAGACTCTGCACTGACCACAGTGACCAGGAGGGAAGCTCTTAGTGCTGCACCAGAGAGACGGTAAGGTGTTGGGGGGCAGGGTGCTAGGGGATGTGGTCTGTAAAAGACAGAGTCAGAAGGCTCAGAATGACGGTAAGTGGGAGACCCTTTCTTTTTCTGGGCAAGAGCTATGAACGCGGCCTCCTCCCAAGAGTGATCCATGTCTCTCACCTAGAATTTTTGGTCTGAAACAATGATCTGGGGGGTTCTACTCCTTGGGGAACGGCCTGGAAAGGAAAACAGTGGGATGAAATGTGACTCGAGTTTTCAGTCTTCCAGATGCCCCCACCTCAAGCCTGTAGCCCTTCTCTTTCATACCTGGACAAGGGGCATGGCCCCTCCTGGGCCTCCCCAGGGACCCAAGCCTTCCCCTGAAGCGCTCCTGCGAGCAGGCCTGTAGGTTTTGTCGAGCTTCAAGGACCAGGGTACAGGGTCCTCTGTTCCTCGGGGCAGCCATCTGATCTGGTGACCTTCGAACTCTGCCAAGACCTGATGCTGCGATTCCTTGGGCTCGGGCCTGGAGAGGCCAGAGCTGGAGCAGGCCCCACCCGAGTGTTCCCCTGCCAACCCACCGCCCCGACCCACGCGATCCAGCTTCCCTGGCTCCGAAAAGCACCATTTCTGCTGCTGGTTGGCAAGGCGGCCGCAGCCGGCGGTTCCTGGCGTGGGAGCCCCGGAGCGCGCTGGCTCCCCTTCCCCGCCCGCGTGGCCAAGCGAGGCAGAGCGCGGGTGCACGGCAGGGGGCCGTGCAGGGGCCGCGGGCCGCAGACGGGCGGGCAGGCTCATGCGGAGCTCCTTGCGCTGGAAGGACGTCTCCCGGAGCACTCGCCGCTGCGCGCCCTGCAGCCGCTGGCGGTAGGCGGCCCGCGAGGCCGGTGGGCTGGGCGGTTCTGCAGCCCGTGCTGCAGCCTCAGCCTCGGCGGCCAGCGCATACAGCAGCGGGGTGGCCTGACGGCTGAGCGGACCCTGGACCCCCTGAACCTGTGGGGGACGCGGCCCACTGCGTGCAGCTGCCGCGGACCAGGGCTGCGGGGAGGTGCGAAGCGTGGCGGCGGCGGGCGGGGCGGGGACCGGGCCGCCCCACACCACTCGCACGTAGTCCCAGTCTAGGTACGGAAGGAGGTCTGTCCCCGGCGATGGTGTGCGCGGCTCAGCACCGCCCGAGGCCGTGGAGAAAGAGCTATAGGCCGAGTCGGCGCGCGCAGAAAGCCGCCGCAGGTCTAGGCTGCGCGTGGACGAGGCTGGGGAGGCGCGGTCGCCCCCAGCACCCAGGGCCTCCATGGCTAGCTCCGTCGAGGCCTGGAAGAAAAAGATGGGGTTATGGGTGAGGAGCTCAGGGAAAGGGTTAGGGCAGTCTGCTTGCCCCACCGACATGGACAGCCAGGGGCTTACACATCTCCCTGGTTCCCCGGTCTCATGCGCTGGCATTACCCCCCAGGTCAAGGATGGCATGGGCAGTAGGACCAGCTCCACAGAGCAACTCTGGAGGTTGAAAGCCTCAGCTCAGAAAGAAACTGGCGACTGGCCCATTCCCCACTGGGGCTCTCCTGGCTGACAGCCCCCCCACACACACACACACACACTATACCCTGGTTACCCGCTGGAGCTCTGAGAATGTACCCATGCTCCTTCCCTCCCCAACGCTGTCCCACCCAGGCTACTTCCTGAAGCTTTGTTAGCTTCTCCGTGTGATCTTTCCCTGATAAACAATGGTCAAGAACGTTCTGAGATCACAGGGAAGCCAAGCAAAGAGGAGAGAAAAGACCCAGGTCAGGTGGCAGAGGCAGCTTCCCAGCCTTACTCCCTCCCTCCGTGCCAGTTACATTCCAGGTGCTTTATATAAATATTTATCTTGCTCCTCCCAACGCCTATCTGCATTTGATAGATGAGGACACTGAGGTTCTGAGGGGAAAATGATTTGCCCAGGAGCACACAGCTGGTAAGAGGCAGAGCCCTGCCTGGAATCTGGGCCTGCCTCCAATCTCACTGCAGCCAGAATCAATTTCCTAGAAGCAAACCCTGCTGAAAACCAGTCCGACACCCCCCCTCCCCCGCCAGATGCCTGAAACCTCCAACGCAGCCCAAATTCCACTGTGGGAAACAGTCGCCTCCACCTTCCCTCAAGCTACTGGCAGATTCCAGAATAACACAGTCCCTGCTTCAGAGACTGCCTTTTGTCTAGGAATGACATGTTCACCCCCTCTTTGTCCTGCTACTCTTGTCCGCTGATAGGGCTCAGCTCAGAGGTCTCCTGACCTTTTGGGATCCCTACAGTGTCCTGAGCTGCCCCCATCACAGCACTCATCACCTGCATTGTAATTGTTGGCTTGCCTGTGACCCTCTTCCCATTCCCACCCTGAGCTTCCTGAGGACAGGCTCTGCACTTACTCATCTCTGGACCCTTAGTGTGTAGCATGTAGTTGATGTTAAAGAAATATTTGTTAAATGGCAAGGAAAGAACGACTTGCAATGAGTAGATGGGGGAGAAAGAAGAGGGCTTCTTTGCTAATGCCCCGTCTTCTCCCCTCCCTATTAATCTTTTCTGGGGAAGGGAACAGACTGGGTGAGGCAGTTGCCCCATGGACACTGACCAAGTTACTCATGCATTATTAGGAACCAAAAGAGCAGGGAAGCACAGCTTAGAGCAGCACTGGGCAGAAATCTGTACCTCCCCAGCACAGGGAGGGAGACAGAAGAGAGAAGTTGCGTGTGTGGGTGTGTGTGGGCCAGTGGTGAGAGCAGCTTTGAGTCTTGGGAAATTGGGGCATCCTATGGGCCAGCGGTTCTCAACATGTGGGTCGCGACCCCTTTGGGGGTAGAACGACCCTTTCACAGGGGTCGCCTAAGACCATCGGAAAACAAAAAGATATTTACATGACGATTCATAACAGTAGCAAAATTACAGTTATAGAGTAGCAACGAAAATAATTTTATGGTTGGGGGTCGCCACAACATGAGGAACTGTATTAAGGGGTCGCGGCATTAGGAAGGTTGAGAACCGCTGCTATGGGCTATGTGGCTTTTGGGGTAGGGTTGCCTTCCCAGAGCTGCTTGATGGGGAGTGCAGAGGAGGGTGGCCTGTAGCTGGGGTAGAAACTGAAAAGCAGGCTCATCTGAGCCACCTAGACACTATTTGGAGCTCAGAGTCACCCTCCACCCCTTTCCCTGAGGCAACAGATGCTACAGATTGCTGGGCAGGGCGGGTAGGGAAGTTAGTGGGAGAATATGGTGTTTCCCAAAAGGGAGAGGCAGTACCTGCAACATCCCCAGGAAGGGCTTTCCGTTGACCTGGGACCAAACCATCGTGACATCACCCACCTCAAGGCATCTTTATGCCCACTGAAGCCAGCCCTGAAGGTTGGGCCTCACACTCCAGCTTGGGGACCTCTTTGCAAGTGTTTCTACTCTCGGGACCTCAGGAAGGTAAGAAGCTACACTGAATAGTAGCCCTGCCCCTGGGCGGACAGTCACCTCCACCAGGAAACCCACCCGCTGCCCAGTCACTAGCCCCTCTCTTTCTAGCCTCTGGGCCTTGCTTGGGAGCACTGTTCACCCTGGCTAATGCCACCTATACCTGCCCATATTGGCCTACTGCGGGTACAGGCACGGGTGACTGTTCAAATACAAAGCTGTTTCCCCAAAAAAGGCCTTGAAAATTTGATCTTATTTGTGAGTTACTGTGTTGACAAAAGACTCAGAGTTCACTAAATAAAAAGAGCTTGAATGGATAATAAAAATGTGTGTACAGAATCGTGATATACTTGTCACCAGAATGAAAGAGCAAGAGAGGAAAAGGAGAGAAAGATGACTTCAGCATGCAGAGCTGGGGGTCTGGGAGGTGGAGGTGCCAGGCTCAGGAAGGAGGAAGCTGAAATGGGGAGTAGCCAAGGGGTCCAGTGCTCATTCAGTCTGGGGCCGGTGGGCTTAGCAGTGTTTGTGGCAAGTCTGGCAGTTGGGGAGTTAGGATGTGGGTCTGGACTTCAGCCGACAGGTTGGACCAGGCCAGCAGGCAAACCCAGGTTTTTAGTTAGAGGATGTTGGGGGAATAGATGAAGACAGCTTCCAGTGGGTAAAACCACACCAAGGCAACGGAAGCAGATGCAGGTAAGGTGACCAGAAAGGTGCACTACCTCACAGACCAAAAACTATTGGGAATTAAGTGGTACCTCTCTCAAAGACCACTTCACATCTGACCTTTCTGTGGAGAGGTTGTCCAGGCCACCCCTCCTGGATGGTCTTCCCTCAGTACTAGGCTCACTGTGGGGTGCTCCTGCACGGCAATCTCCTTGCCAGATTGAGTTTCTGGGACCTGGGCTGTGTCTTGAAAACTAGACCAGCTCTGGCTGGGCAGTCATTTGGGGAAGTCCCACGGCTTTCCCAGTACCCAGTGGTACCCAAATCTCCCAGAAACTCTCGCTCTGTGCGCTCAGGAAATGAGGGATGTTGGCGGCACTTGGGATAGGAGATCTCCGTGCTGTCGGACCGCGTACCTGGGCTTCAAGCTGCGAGCCCAGGCGCCAAAGGAGAGAGGCGCAGGCCTGGCGACCGCAGGGGGCGGCAGAGTCACGCGGTGTGGCGGGTGAGCGGGATCTCTGGGACGCTGGGAGAACGGATGGCCGCCGGCCCGCGCATTTCCCGACCTTTCCTGTGGGGTTCGCCGTCGGGGAGGGAGGGCTCAGAACGCAAGCTGGGGGGCAGCGCGATCCTGAGCGGGAGGGATCCGATTCTCCAGCAGTCTCGCGGCCGAAGGGTGAGAGCGGGATGGGGGTGGGGGGTGGGGGGTGTCGTGGAGTGAGACTTCCTGAGGGTTCTCGCCCCCCGAGCGCTCCCCGGGCAACTCCGGCCCCTCGGCGGGTCTGCGTCCTCCCCAACCCTCTGCAAAGAGCCGGGGCGCCTCCACTCGCGCAGACCAGCCTCGGCGCGGAGTCCACACCTCCAGACCCAACGGCGCATCGGCTGCTCTGCGGCCCTGCCGCCACCCCCGTCCCCGCCCCTCCTCGCCGCGGGGCTCGCCCTGCATTCTCCCGGGAAACCCGCCGCGGAACCCCTCGCCGCGCGATCCCGCCGTCCGGCCCCTGCCGCCTGGCCCCGCGCCTCGCCGCGTACCTGAGCTCCAGCCTGAGACGCGCTCATGGGCGCCCGCGGCCGCGCGGTGACATCAGATCCCCCGGCTCCGACTCCGGACCCCACCTCCAGGCTCTGGCTGCCGCGGGGGAGGCGCCACGTCCGGCCACCGGGGGCGGGAGCGCTGAGCGGCGGCGCTGATCCCGGGGCCGCCCGCCCTTTCGTAGTGTCCGCTCGCCAGTCTAGCCCTGGGCCCAGGGAGTGGACACTCGCTCCCCGCCGGGCACAGGCCTCTTGCTCCGGGCCGGAGAAGCTGGAGGACAGGGATAGGAAGGGCGACCACGGGGCTTGCCCACCGCCCGTTTCCTCAGAGCGCGTACTGCGCGGGCCCGGGCGGCAGCCCCCTCGGTGGGGAGGCCCAGCATGGGCCCTAAGGCCCAAGACGGCCACCCCTTTCCTTTAAAGCTTGGCCAAGAAACAGGCCCGCCCTGGGCTCATGCCTCTGTCCCTGTCCCTCTGAGCACCGTGCAGTTCGGATAGTAGTAACGGACCTCTTGACCAACTTTCCATTACCCCCATTTCCAAAACTCTTCCAGTTCTTCGACCCCACCGTGAGCTCTTTTGTCCCATTTTTGCCCCCGTTTCTTTCCATTTCTCCAACTACCCCGCATCGTCTAAGCCCTCCTGGCTAGCCACCTGGACCAGAGGGGGCACTCCTGACATGAGGGGTCAGCAGTGGGAACACTGCCCTCAGTGGGTCCTCCCGGTGCTGGACATATGCAGATCCCCTATGGCCTGGGGAGGGTTCACAGGCTGTAGTCTGGCTGTCAAGGTCCTCCCCTTTGGGGATCTCCCTCTTCAAAGAATGCTTTGCATTCATTTGCCACTGTGCTCCACCCCCTGCTATGTCCTCAGCCTCTCCTGCCTCCACTTTCCACACCTCCGTCCTATGAATACTGGTTCTGCCAAGAAATGCTCCATCCCTGGAAGGGGCTGGGAGCCCTTTGCTGTCAGGTCTCTCTCTTGTTGGTGTGGGCTACCCTCGCTCTTTCACAGAATCAGCATGCCTCAGGGCAGGGACCATGTCGCCCCATCATGGCATCCTTAGCTGATAAGGTTTGTGGGTGGGAATAACTGGGACCCAGAACTCATACCAGGGGTCAAGGCTGCAGATTTCTGGAGGCACAGGGAGCCTGGGGAACTCTGTCTTCTTGGGTCTTCTAGGTGGAGGCAGCAGGCACCTAAGCCTGGATTCTGATTGGTGCCCTTCTGGCCCTGCTCCTTCCAACACCGTCATGAGCAGCCATCAGCTTCAGCTGGAGCTGGGACTCTGGGCTCTAAGACAATGGCTCAGAAGCTCTTGCTTTGAAAGCCTGTCCTTTTAAGACCCTGATCCGTGTGGCTGGTCTCAGGGCAGTTTCACAGTAGAAGGAACACAACCAAAAGCAAACAAAAAGGCAGTCCAAAATGGCTCAAGTTTTTATTTTATATTTAAAAAACATATTTCTTGACAACCATGAAGTGGACACAGTGTCCACAAAAAATTTTATGACCCCACTCCCCTTCCTGCCCCCTCACTTCTCTTGCAGATGCTGCAGAAACTCTCTGCGTAACTCCCAGAAAACCAAAATCCTGCCCACCCACTTCTCTCCAGGTCTCTTCTGAGGAAGAGAAAACCAGCCCCTGACATCTGGAAGTTGGCCTGATACTGTCAGCTAGACCTGGGTGTTACTAAGAGCTGACCTGACACGCATAACCAAGGCTTTGGTGTTGTCCTGTTGCACCTAAACAATTTCACAGGACATTCACATCAGACAAGGCCCTTCTGTGACTAGGCTGAATCAAGACAAAAGCAAGACCACTCTGTAGTCAGATCTGAACACACACAAACCACGAACATTGTCCATGTCATCAACATGACCAAACATCTTTCTGTCCTGTTTAATAGTGAATGCTGTTTCTTAACCAATTGCAGCTTTTAGCTTCGCTCAAGTCACTCCTCTTTTTTTTTTTTTAGCTGAGCCATCCTACCACCTGTTGGCAGCTCAGTGGCAACTCCGCTCTGGCTGGACTCGAACCGCTGTTGCTCAGAGCTCAAACCCTTGAGAGAGCTCTTAACCAACTGAGCCACTCGGCCGGCCCACTCCTCTTTCTTGATAAGATTTATTAACATACCCAGTCATAGAATTGTTCTTGCTTTCTGACAGCGTCCAACACGAGGAAAAGTCCTGCTCCTTCAGTTCTCTCCAAAACCACTAACATAAGCCCAAATCCTATAAGTCCTTTCTAACACGCTTTTATCGAGATGCCCATGGTCCCCCATGCTGTGTGTTCCCCCGCATTGTAACAAGCAATAAACCCAATTTGTAACTGCAGTATCTTCCTGATGGTCTGGGTCTGGAGGGCATTGGCATTTCATATCTCTGTATTACAAAACCCCAAAGAATCTTGGAGGAGAATAAGGGGAAGAAACTGCTGCAAAGCTGGAGCCCCCTTTAGTGGCCATGGAGAGGATGGAGGCATGCACATACTTACGTTTTTCTACTGCTTAAAAAGACAGATACCTGTGCTCCCCAGTATCTCAGTACTTCCCCAAGCCTGGGAGAGTTCTGGTAAAGAGCCCTGTAGGTGACAGAGCTTACCCAGGGTTAGAACCATAGACCTCCATGTTCCCAGCCAGCCCCTATCCGATGCGTGGGAAGGTGGTAGGTCTCCATTGCATGTGATTTGGCACTTGTAACCTGAACTGATGACAACATACCAAAGCACCTGCCCACCTCACAAGTCTCTGGTTTCTGGCTTTGGTGCCCACTCTCTCTCTGTTGGATTTAGGTGGCATGATGTGACAATGGCTTGATTGCTAAAGACCACCTCTTTGCTGCTGGGCACTGTGCTAAATGCTCTACTTACCTTTTTAACCGTTATTCCTGAGACTTAATTAAATATCTTGTCAAAGTCAAGTGGCTCATAATCAGTACAGGCAAAATTTAACCCCATGATGGCTGATTCCAAAGGCTGTTTTCACATGACTAGTGAAAAGAATTGCAAGACGTGGGTGTCATGCAGCCTTCGTCAGAGAGCAGGATTTGTACTTCAGAGTGAGCAGGGCAAGAAAGCAAATGGGCAAGAGGAGAAGTACGCAACAGCAAGACCCCAATCACGACTTCCCCCTCTCTGTGTGTCCTCAACAGGCTGACATATGCCTGGGCTGTGTCATATATGGTTTCCAGGGGTCTGTTGTAAAGGGCTTGTAAAAACATTTCTTTCCATTGGTACCTTTTCAAGGTGTTTTGCACCTTGATTTTGTATTTGAAGTTATTCAAGTTTTTTTTTAACGTTATTCAGGTTATTTGAAACTATTCAAGTTATTTAAGTTCATTTAATATCAGCACATAGAGCTGTGTCAGTCTTTGTAACAGGAGCATAGTCATCCATTGCATGGGCATAAATAAATTGGTTTATTTAACCCAACCCCCAACTGAGGGACACTTAGGTTAGTCCAGTCTTTTGCTATTATTAATCCTGTAATGAATATCCTTGGTCACATATTTGCTCACATTTGTAAGTCTACTTGTAGGATAAATTCCTAAAAGATGAAGTGAAAGAGGATCTTTCAGTGTCATCCACCCCAGCTGACACCATATGGATCAGAGAAGAACCACCAAACCTAGCTTTTCCTCAAGAAAGTTCTGACCCTCAAAATCATGAGCAAAATAATTATAAATGTGCAAGCCACTAAGTTTTACGGTAGCTTGTTATGCAGTAATGGATCACTGTAACAGGGTATGTAAATTTTTAATTTTGGTTGATACTGTCAAATTTCTTACAAAGAAGTTACAGAATTTACATTCTCATCAATATATGAGCCCATTTCCCTGCGTCCTCACTAACAAAGCACATTATCAAACTTTTGATCTTTGAAATCTGAATGGTGAAAATGTCTCACTGTTTTAATTTACATTTGTTTAAATAAATGAAATTGCACATCATTTTGAACACTTTAAAGCCATTTGTATTAACATCTGTGATCTGTCCATTTCCTCTGCCAATTTTTCTATTGGATTATTAGTCTTTTTCTTTTTTTAAAAAGATTTTATTAGGGAATTGGGAGAGGGGAACAGTGTTGGGGAATCGGGGAAGGGGAGCAGACAAGTTGCTGTTCTTTGGTTCTTCAGTCTAGTTGTGGAGGACGTCGCCTCACTGGCTCATGTTGGTATTATCATTGCGCTCTTCCCAGGTGAGGCAGATGGGTCACTGGCCTCTGGACGGCCGCTCACAGCAGCTCTTGTCAGCTCACACCGGCTGCTGGCCACTTACACTGGCTGCTGGCCACTCACGGTAGCTTATGGCAGCCCACTGCAGCAGGGGCTGCAGCCTACACCGCCACCGGCGACTCATGGCAGCCCAGCTCCAGGTTGAGCTGTTGTTCACCTTCTTAGCTATAGAGGGCAGTGTCACTGGCCCTCATGTGGGATCTGAACCAGGGCCCTGCTGCACAGAGCTGGCGTCCCAAGCCAGCTTAACCAACACGCCACTCGGCCGGCCCCTATTAGTCTTTTTCTTATTGCTTTGTAAGATCTCTTTATACCAGGGCTGCTGAAAAAATGTATACAAGTGGATACTTGTGTCATTGTTTCTCAAGCAGTAGTTTGCCATAATCAGAAGTGTCTGAACGCTGATGGTAACCACTTTGAGCGCCTCTTGTAATTGCAGAAGTCAAACGTGACTTGTATTCATCTTTGTTATCAGTATATATTGAGTATTACAATTTTAATACAGTTTTCCTTTCTTAAAATGTGTATACATTTTTTTGGCACCCTCTGTATATTAAGCCAATTAATGTTTGTTTTCCTTGTGTGGCAAACATTCTCTCAGATTTATGTTTTTGACTTTGTGGTAGCTGTGAGTCTATAATCCACGGCTGAAGCACATATATCTTCCTTTTAGACAACAGCTGCTTAGCTGTCTTAATAATTCAGAGATGGTCATGTATTGGGTAAAGTACGTTAGAGGCCAGAAATCTTTCAACAAAATCATGTCTATTTTTGGAAATACAACAAAGCATGAATCATTGCTTATACACAGATGTCTACTTAAATTGTAAATGTTCCCTTGGGGCAAGTTTGTTTGCTTTCAAATTATGCGCTGAATTTACCACACTCGTCCAAAGACAGGGCTTTATGGGAAGGCAGCCACAAGAAGACAATGCAGGGGGGCAGGGAGCACTCTCTCTCCTGTGGGGGCTTCTGACAAGCAGGGCCTCTGGGGGAGTCTGGGTAGGGACTGGTTGTCCCAGGGATTGAACCAAAGTTCCCTTTCAGATTAGCAGTTCCTGGAAAGGAATGTTGGGTTGTCACATTTCTACTGAGTACACATATGTCACCTTTTCCCTACAGACACTAGGTGACTCCCCAGCCTCTGTTTGATTTGCTAATAATAACTCAGCTTTTCTCCTCTAGCTGGGCCCCAATCCTAGGCCTTGGGACCATACCATCCCCCTGGTCTGCACTCATTCAGATGTTACCCACACATCTTTGGACAAGAGAGGATAAACGAGATAGATGAATACAGGCTCTCTCCTGCCTACTCCAGTGGACTGAGGACAGATAAGGTCAGGTGAGCTTTACTACTTTGCTAGTCTGGTCTCCTGGGGCCCAGATGAAAAGGGTCCGCTATGCTTCGTTTTGGTTCTCAAGCATAGAAATGAACTCATATTCTGAAGTAGACTTCCGATTGCATTGTCCAGAAAGGGCAACAGCTGGCTCAAGTGCAGGAGTCTTCAGACTGCCCTTCTGTGTTCAGGCCCTGACAAAGGCGGAGACAGTCTCCAAAAAGCCCCACCCCTAAAAGTGCCCTTCTATT